CACACACACACACACACACACACACACACAAACACACACACCACACACACATACACACAGACATATAATCACAAAAACACACAAGCACACAAACAAACACACAAACTCACAAGAACACACGCAGAAGCACAGACTCATACACACAAGCAAATAATCACACGCATACATACACACAAGCTCACACACACGCACACACAAATACCAATAAACAAACACACAAACATACACACACATAAACACACACAAACCTTTCTTAACGACATGGAAAATAATATTTAAAAAATCTTGACACCAGTAATCAATAAAATCTGGAAAGGGAAAAATCAAATCCAAACAATGTTCAGAAAACAAAAAGCTGGGGGAGCAACACCACGAAATATGATTACCGTTCTTATTCTTCCGGGAAAACACAAGGGAGGGAACAACCCCTGAAAGGCGCCAACTCATCTAATCAAGACGGCTAAGCCTAATCCTATTATCCGGTCATCAGCTACGGAGATGCGGCACACTCCGAATTCATTTCCTGATCAATGACGTAATGTCCGGCATTTCCCTTTTCAGTTGTGGGAAAGTAAGGCTATCGATTTTGGTTTTCTCTTTTAACTAAAAAATGAAGTTTAACACCTAATTTGTGATGAGGTTAAGGTTAATTCATGGAGAGGTGGAGCAGATGTTGTTCACATTTTGTACTCGTAGATAGCAGTTTTAGCGACATTATTCCTTGATAAACAGGAATAGTCGGACTCTCAATGGGAATAGAACCCACGACACCGCGTTGCTGTTAATGCGAGCTAACCTACTGCACCATAAAGCCACTAGATTGTATGATGCAATACGGGTTTAACACTCCCACGCTGTAATGTTCTAGATGAGCCTTGACTATTAGATTCACGCCCTTTTCGGATATGACAGCGTCAATAAGGTCGTAAATTTCGAAAACTTCTTTTTAAAAATCCAATTCAAGAACGCTCTAAAGTGAGCATGAACAAAGATGGACTATTATACAACAGCCGAGAATGATGCGTACTAATACGGCACGCCGGTAAGTTGACATAATGGTGTATATGCATACTAATATTACAGAGAGTTGTAATAATATACTTCAAATAAATAATATTGTGTTGATTATATTTCAAAATACTGCTAATATCGCACACACACACACACACACACACACACACACACACACACACACACACACACACACACACACACACACACACA